GTTTTTTTTTTTTTCCCAGCTTGATGTGCTTGCTATGAAAGCCTTCAGCTCTTGGTACCTCCAGGCCCTAGCGTGATGAGTAAGAAGCAGGTGGGGGAGGCCATATTAGCCATACAGTGTGATAAGGCTCCCAGAGCTGAGCATGGTTCTCACGGGACAGAAGAGGACAGGACAGCCCTGATCCTTCTCTCAGGGGCTTTCACATACATTCCTTTTTCCTTTCCAGAAAAGCCCCTTAAGTTACCTAATATTATTCACTTGCTGTGGCAGGATGGGGCCAAGAACTCCTGTCCCCTGACTCTTGGGTCTGTGCCCCCTTCTTCATTTATTTGTATCTGAGCTGTTTTAGAAGCAGAGTAGATAATCTGCCTTTTTCTGTCTTTGGCTCACATTTTCATCTCACGTAGAATTTTAAAGCAATTTATATGTACCATCTCATTTTTTCCCAGTACAATTGTGAAATTACAAAATCTCTGTCAAAAGAATGGCAAGTACCTGGCATACATCCCCACACAGTTCCTGACCACTTGTGGCAGACATAACTAGTCAATTATCATGTTCCTCCTGCTGAACCTCCCAGAACTGGCCCAGAAATGTCACCTATTTGCCATCTCTGTTGGTCTGTACAGTCCTTGAGTGCACAGTCAAGTTAGCAGCTTGGTAAAAACAGTTCCCAGCACTTAGTCTGTGACTTTTACATTGGCCCCTCCTCTATGAGCTGCTTTCTTCTTAAGCTCCTGGTTGCTCCCCCAGACCCCAGCTGAGCTGGCAGAGGGACTGGAACAACCGGAGAAGGTCTCTAGCGTGCTGACCATAGCAGCACCGCATGGACTGGGGGTGAGGCACCCAGCTGATCCCGGGGTGGGGAAGAGAGTGGAAGCAGAGTCTCTCCTGGAACCTGGGCTGTGACCCGACTTTGTGTTTCAGCCTCCCGGAAGTCATTTGTGTTTGAGCTGAACGAATGTGCCTCCAGCCGCATCCTGAAGCTAGAGAAGGAGAACCAGAGCCTCCAGAGCACCATCCAGGGGCTGCGGGATGCATCCCTGGCGCTGGAGGAGAGCAGCCTGAAGTGCGGAGAGCTGGAGAAGGAGAACCACCAGCTCAGCAAGAAGGTAACCCCAGCCGGGGGTGGGCGACCTCCTCCCCCAGCCCTTGTCTATAATGTGCAGCCAGGCAGAGCGTTCAGGTGTTGGTGAGTGTGCACAGCTGGGAAAAATGCAGAATCCACTGCAGGCACAGTTCATTATAATAGAGGGATAAGCGTGTCCTTGACCAGAGGCAGCATGGCTTGTCCCTGCACCACAAATGCAAATGTGGCCCCAGTGTGACTAGACCTCTGTGTGCCTTGTCTTCATCTGCGAAATGGGGTTAATGGGGGTTGTAAGGATTTTATGGGTTATTGTAAGTAGAGTCGGGCACATACATAGTAAGTGCTCTATGAAAAGAACGCACTGTTAAAAAGCATAGGACGGGGCACGGGAAGAGGAATCGGTGATGTCAGACATGCCTGCGTGCGTGTGTGTATAGGACACTGATGGACTATTTTAGGGCATTGCTGGTGGTAACACAAGGTCAGAGCACACCTCTTTCTCTTGGTTTATAGGGTGAGGAAGAAGAGATGGCCAAATTGCATTTGCCTTTCAGGACAACTGCTGGGTCTTTGATTTAGCACTGTAGAGCCCAAACCTCTGGGAGGACAGACAGAGGCTCCCAAACCGTCTTTGTTTTCCAGTTACAAGGACCCCTGTTCGCACAGGGGATGCAGATCGGGTCCACGAAAGGGCGGTTGAGAGCCAGGGATTGCCTGCATGTGTTGGTCACAGGACCTCAGTAGACGTCACCCACACTACAGACAGCGCACCTGCGTCGTGGGCTATCCACGCACCAGCTGCCAGATTGCAGCTGAGGGAGAGGACAAGAGTGCTCTTGCCCGCTGACCACCATGCAGGGCCGATGCTTCTGGGTATCTGGGTGTCTGTCCCGACCTGCCCACTGTCTGGCCAGTGTCATTGACTGAGGTTGCACCGGCAGGGGGAGGAGCTTGGGCTGCAGACAAGAGACTGGGGTCCACTGGTGCTGGCCCTGCCTGCACTTCCTCTCTGGGGGAGGCTTGGGGCATCCCCTCCTTCTATGAAATGGTCTCTCCCATCCCCTCCTGGGACTTCCCAGGCTCGGTTGCTCACCCTTCTGGTCTCTTTGAAGCATTGTGTGCTCCGCAGCGTGGTAGGTGCCAAAGTCTGTCATCTCTCATAGGACAATGGAAAACACACTCTCTTGTGCTCTGTGTCTTAATGCAGAGCAGCGTGTGGAGGGCGACTAGACGGTTTGGGTGTTTAGATTCACATGGGCCTAGCACAGGAAATGTCTTTATAAATGGCAGTCTGACCTCAGCCAAGATTAAAAAAAAAAAAAAAAATTTTTTTTTTGACCTTTTGAGAAATGAGAACCTTCAACTCCACAGGTCCTCACGGGTCTGCCGTAGAAAGCTGTGCTGAAATCTTGCTGGCCCAGCTCCCAGCCAGCCTCAGAGGTTTTCCCTCCCCTTGGGGTCCACCCTGGTCCCTCCTCTGCACAGACAGGACCGGCAGTGGGTGCTGCCTGCCCAGCATTATTTCTGAGCCCCCGTCTCTCAGTCCCACCTCCTGCTTCCTCTCTGGATCGTTTTTCCGGGGGGATAGCAGCCCTCCCTGCCACAGCCTATGGGAGCATATCTTGGCACAGCATCCCTGGTAAAAGGGAGGTGCCACTGTTCCCAGACTGGAGCCATCCTGTGTTCGGAGCCAGGAGCCCTGGGGAGGGAGTCCTTCTGCCCACTGGAGCACCTCTTCTCCCTGTCCTCAGCCTGCCTGGGGTCTAGCTGGATCTGTTCTGACCCAGCGTGGGTAGTTACGTTCTCTCCGCACCATCCAGCTTGGTACAGAACACCGGAGGGAGCCCGTCAGCTCCTCTGGAATTGCCTTTTCCCAGCCTTGGTCACCTCACTCTGCGCTTCTCTCCATGGAGTGTGTCTCAGTCACCAGCTGGCATTTCTTGGTCAATAGGTGAACCACCAACCCAGCTGAGCCCCACAGGGGACACATCCCCAACAGTGACTCCTGGAACGAGGGAGGGCACCGCGTTGGGACGAGTCCAGACAGCACAGCTACCCTGGGAGGTGTCTACAAAGGAGGGTTAAGGGCCAACCAGGACACAGTGACCTGGAGGCCCCTCCCGCCCCCTGCCGTGCTAGCCCGGCTCTCCCATCATCCTGCACGTAGCCCAGGCTGCAAGCTTGCTTAGGTTCGGGATGTCTGTGGGAACCATCGTTCCCCAAAGTTAATATCTTCCTTCTAATTAATGAAATTTTCGTGGGACTTAGAGAAACCGCCTCGCCCTCGTGACTATAACTGTGTCAGTACCTTGCAAGTTGAACGCCTTGAGCTAAGAAGTAAAGAATCCTTAGTTTCAGAGACAGGAAGGCAACCCGTTGAGGGTGTGTACAGATCCGGAGCTGAGGGGAAGGCCCCTGGCACCCACATACTCTGGGAGTCCATAACCTGAGCCAGGTACTTGAGGAAGGATGGGAAGCCCTCTTAGGGCTGACAGGCCTACGGCCAGCTCACATCTCAGCCCCGCGAGCTCCCCCAGGGCCACTGCGGTCCGTCGGGGATGGGTAAGAATAGGGGCTCCAATTCCATGGCAGAAAGAACCAGAAAGGGAGAAAGATGGCAGTGGGCATCCAGCAGTGATAGGTGGGTTGTGGGGACATCGTGTCTTCAGACTAGAAGCAAGAACAATCAGAAATGCAGAGGCTGGAAGAACATTCCTTTCTCCAGGAGAGAAGGGGCAGCCAGGGTAAAGGATTACCAGTGAGGTCAGCGGGTGAGCTGGGAAGGCAGGGGGCACGCACCACAGGCTGCTGACAGTGCCTGGGAGCAGGTCTGGGGTCACCCACTGGTGTGCATCCTAGCCCTGCTGTGTCCTCACTGTGAGGCCTTGGGCAAATCACTTAGTTGCTCTGGCCCAGAGTCGTCCACTGCATGACGGTCAGTAATAATTGCCTGTTCCCTTACCCGTCACTGGCAGGACGCTCTTGGGGAGGGTCTGCTGACATTGGCACACCTGACACCTGCCAGATGCATGCTGAGCACTTGATGGGATAGCTCATGAAGATGGACGCCGCTGGCCCAATGTCATTTACCGAAATTTGCTCATCATGGTCCTGTTGTTAGCAGGAAGGGACCAGACTCTGAACCCGTGTCCCTCTGACACCAGTCAGTGCCGTTTCCCCAACTCCTGTCCCCAGTGATAAGGAGTTTGGGGTTGGCAGGGAGGGACAGCAGCCCCCACGAAGCCCTCAGACTGCAAAAGGTGACATGGGCATCACCTGGGAGCTGAGTTGTAGGCCCTGCCTTCAGCCTGCCAAGTCAGAATCTGCATCTACCACGATGATAAATGTGGGTATCGGGCATGATAAAGTGTGATAAGCCCTGAGCTAGGTAGTTCATGTTTAGCAAGGATGGACGCTGGTGGGTCTTAGCCAAGAGCATGGCACCCAGGAGGTGATATAGGTGGTCATCCAGGCAAGATGGGAGTGTGGTCCAGGGGTGCATGGGTGGTTCAGTCAGTTGAGCATCCAACTCTTGATTATAGCTCAGGTCATGATCTCACGGTACATGAGTTCGACCCCCAAGTTGGGCTCTGTGCTGACAATGCAGAGCCTGCTTGGGATCCTCCTCCTCTGTTTCTGTCTGTCTGTCTCTCTCTCTCTCATGCTCTCTGCCCCTCCCCCACTTGCATGCACGCACACACACACACACTCTAAAAAATAAATAAGCTTTAAAAAAAAGATGGAACGTGGTCAGGCCTGGGGTAGTCAGGGGGCATGTGGAGGGGGAGGGGCACAGGTAGAGAGGACAGGACTTGCTGACAAACTTATTGGAGGGTGAAAGTGGAAGGAGAGATGCATCAGAAGACTGAGCAGCTGGGTGAACAGGTGTGTCCCCAACTTAGGTGGCCTTTGTGAAGGAGAGGGTAGGAGGGTGAGTCCAAAGTCCCTGCAGGGCATCCAGCAGCGGTGGCTGGTGGCCCCTAGAGCATGTGCTCTGACCCTTGAGAGCGTGGACAAGGCCTGAGACAGAAGCGAGGGACCTGGGTGTGGCTAAGAACATTTGGCAGTGAGGATGAGCAGGGGAAGGGTGAGAGGGAGGCTGACTGGTTGGTTGGTGCCCAGGACCCTCCCCTCTCCCCTGAGCCGAAAGTGCAAGGTGTGAGCTAAGAGTTGAGGTTGCTGCGGAACAGCACCAGGATGTTTTTCCTTGAGAAGAGGCCTGTGCAAGTATTCTGTGAGGCTGGCAGGGTTTTGGTTTGTCTTAAAACGTCGTTCACTTTGTGAAAGTGACTTTTGCACTGGCTGGGTCTTCTGGCTCTACAGATTGAAAAGTTACAGACCCAGCTGGAGAGAGAGAAGCAGAGCAACCAGGATTTGGAGACCCTGAGTGAGGAGCTGATCAAAGAGAAGGAGCAGCTGCAGAGTGACATGGAGACCCTGAAGGCCGACAGAGCCAGGCAGGTGGGTGCCTCCGGGATGAATGTTCTTTCTCGCCTGTCTTGGGAACTCTGCCTACAAGGGGAAGAGTCCAGGATTATAGCCACTTCCTGTAATTGATGAGTGATATGTGTGTTACCACTGACCCAGCTTAGCTGCCCTCAAACCAGCCATTTTTAGCTGACGGTGCAGGAACAGGGGTCAGCTTTTGCCTCCCAGGTTACAACGGCAGTCCTGGTTTTGATTGTCGTGATTTGGGGGAGGAGAGAAAAGGTGCGCGTGGCCTGTGGGTGGAGACCAGATGGCCTGCAGTACACAGGACGGCCCCTCAGGACGAAGAACAGATCCAGCTGTAAACATCTGTCGTGTCCTAGCAGAAAACCCTGGCAAACCTTTGAGCTTTATTTGGCTCACGCTATAAGAGGTCCAGGGTGGGCAACGCAGTGCTGGTGCAGTGGCTCAGTGATGCCAGCCAGAAGCCAGGCCTCTCTCTACCTGTCCTGCCAGGCCTAGCTATTGCACATCCCCAAAGTATGGGCGGGAAAAAGGTCACAATGCCCAGGGAGAGCGTCCTGCTGGGTGCCAGGCATGTTCAAGTCATGGAGCTGACACTCTCCCTGAGCCTGAAGGACGAGGAGGGGACAGAGATGCTGTGGATCAGTGGGGGGAAGATGGGGGAGTGTTCAAGGCAGAGGGACCATCACATGCAGCGTCCGCAGCGGGGGAGAGTGGCATACGGGGAGGCCACAGGTGGCAGGCTCAGGTCGTGGGGGTCTTGCTGCCCGGGATGAGGAGTACCAGAGAAATCCCTTTCATTCTCATTCTTGTAAATAAGAGGAAGAGAAGTGGTTTACATTTGTGAATCACCGTGACTGCTGTGGATGTGTTTGGCTTGAACTGAGTAATGACTGCCCTTGACCTTGGCCTGGGAAGCAATGGGATGGCTCTGGGTGGTCCTTCAGGGGCCTACAATTTATTCTCCTAGTTTGGACCCAGGTCACTGAAATTTATCCATGCAACAGCCACCTCGTGTGTCATTCGCGTTATATTTCTCCGCAGATCAAGGATCTCGAGCAAGAAAAGGATCATCTCAACCAAGCGGTGTGGACGCTGCGGGAGAGGTCGCAGGTGAGCAGCGAGGCCCGGGTGAAGGACATCGAGAAGGAGAACAAAGCCCTCCACCAGACGGTGACGGAGACCAGCAGCAGACTCAGCAAGCTGGAATTCGAGAAGCAGCAGCTGCACAAGGACTTCGAACAGGTGAAGGAGAAGGTGGAGCGGGTGGAGGAGCTGGAGAAGGAGCTGCACCGGCTGGAGAAGGACAACGAGAAGCTGGCCAAGAAGGTGGCCTCCCTGAAGACCGCCACCGAGAAGGTGGATGCCCTGGAGCGCGAGAGTCGGGGCCTGGCTCTGGAGAACCGGAAGCTCAGGAAGTCGCTGGACACCCTGCAGAACGTGTCCCTGCAGCTCGAGGGTCTGGAGCGGGACAACAAGCAGCTGGACGAGGAGAACCTGGAGCTGCGCAGGATGGTGGAGACCATGCGCTTCACCAGTGCCAAGATGGCTCAGATCGAGAGGGAGAACCAGGAGCTCGAGCGGGAGAAGGAGGAGCTGAGGAAGAACGTGGAGCTGCTGAAGGCCCTGAGCAAGAAGTCCGAGCGCCTGGAGCTCAGCTACCAGGGCGTGAGCGCCGAGAACCTGCGGCTGCAGCAGACCCTGGAGAGCAGCAGCCAGAAGTCCCAGGCCCTGGAGCAAGAGCTTGGCGAGCTGGAGGCCGAAAACCAGGTCCTGCGGCGCGACCTGGAGGCCCTTCGGCTCTCCCACAAGCAGCTGGAGAGGGCTGAGAAGGACAGGAAGGCCCTGGAGCAGGAGGTGGCCCAGCTGGAGAAAGACAAGAAGCTGCTGGAGAAGGAGGCAAAGCGGCTGTGGCAGCAGGTGGAGCTCAAGGAGGCGGTCTTAGACGACAGCACCGCGAAGCTGTCTGCCGCCGAGAGGGAGAGCCGCGCCCTGGACAAGGAGCTGGCCCGCTGCAGGGACGCGGCCAGCAAGCTGAAGGAACTGGAGAGGGACAACAGGGACCTCACCAAGCAAGTCACCATGCATACGAGGACACTGACCACCCTGAGAGAGGTGAGCTGGCACCAGCAGGCCCCTCTCCCGTGGTGAGGGGGTGGGGGTGCGTGCCTCCCGAGCAGACGTGAGACTGTGTGTGTGTGTGTGTGTGTGTGTGTGTGTGTGTGTGTGTGTGTGTCCTCCCTGATTCCGAACAGAATAAGGTCTGCCAGTGCGAAGAACAAAGGGAAAGCACTGGTTCTTATATCCCTGCCCAGAGATGACCACTGCTCATAGTCTGGCCGATTTTATCCCGTCATTCCCCGTGTGCATTTGTACATACACATGCTTGACATCGTGCGTCCCTGCATCCTAAGCTCTTCTGTTGTTTATTTACTCTGCCTTTCTTTTCTCATTACAGTAAGTAAGATTGAAGCCATGGATTTCTAATGGCTACAGGGTTTTAATGCTGTAGATTTACTGCAATTAGTTTTTGGACGTTTAGGTGGTTTTCCAATTCTTTTCATTATTTTAGATACCACTGGACACTTGCATACATATATCTGTTTTCTCAGGCTATATTCCTAGAAGCAAAAGTAGGGGTTCTAAGGGTATGAACATCTTAAAGTTTCTTGCTAAGTTGGCATCCTACTGTTTCCCCAGTATTTATTGCATGGGCCCTCTGGGGATTCCTTCAGTGTTTGAGGGGGAATAAACTGCTTTAGTAAATGACTTCGGCATCTGAATGGCCCGGCACAGAAATTGAGTCTCACATAGGTAGGAGTTGAGTGTGGCTGTTCATGGACAGCCTTAAATTCAGTGACTTGGGCACCTGGTTTCTCCCTTCCTGTGGCTCGGCCATCCCGCAGTGGAGTCCTCTTCTGACTGTGGCAGCAAATGAGGAAGACAGTGGGTAAGAAAGATTGCACTCCACTGTGCAGAACGCGGTCACACAGCTGCACCTAGCTTCAGGCGAGGCTGGGGAACGTGTTTCAGCGGTGTGCCAGGGGAGAAAAGGAAATAGATTTGGTGAACACAGGGATGTCTCCATGTTCATGTACAGGAAGATCATAAGGCTATGGGAGAGGGACTTCACTAATATGACCCCTAGTCCCTGTCTCGGGAAGCAGAAGATAAGTTCTGCCGTGGTAACACTCAAGCCCGGAGTCATAGCGGCTCATCACGCCAGGGACTGACTTCTCATTCGTGAGACTCCAGGTGACTCCCCAGGAGCCTGTGCTGTGACTCAGCAGTCCAGGCTGCTTTGATTTATGGCTCCGCCTTCTCAGCACGGGGCTTGGGCAGTTGCTGAGGCAGGACAAAGGCAGCTGGAAGGTCACCCACCGGCTCTGCTGTGCTGCAGCCAGGAGGTGACCCACAGCATGTCCACCCACCACTCACTGGCCAGAACTACCGGGTAGCTGGGACATTTGGGGTGAGCTGATGGAGTGTTGGGAGAGCGCCACGCTGTCACACGGCCGTCGAAGGCCTGAGGATTTGGTGGGGGTCAGCTTGCATGCCAAGTAGCTAGGGCACTGGGCAGAGAGCAGTACCTGCCTGGAGAGCTTCGAAGATGGGTGGGAGTAAGAAGGGGGATCTACATACAGTAAGTAAACCACCTAAATGAGAGCAACTGCTTTTGCAGAATAAACCACAACCAGAGTTTTTAGTAAAATCTTTATCTCTTTTGTCCTTTTTTCTGTTCCAAATTCTTCGCAAGGAGCATTTAATTCCATTACTGCACAGAAAAGGTAATCGTGTTAAAATTCAAAGCTCCTACTGAAAGGTCAACATAAATGGCGTTGCACAAACACATGTCCTTCCCGTATCACCATGGAGGCCGGGAGGCTGAGAAAGTACGTCTGTCCCTTCCCTTTGGAAGACGTCCCTGGGGTTCACCTGTCCCGTGGAACTGTCTGCTCAGCCCTCAGGACACCTGAGTCAGCCATGACTCGGGAAGACGGCTCCTCGGCCTTGAGAAGGGCCTGTGCCAGGCCCTCCGTGCTGGGCTCCCGTCCCACACGCATCCTCTCCCTGTCCTGGCAGGACCTGGTGCTGGAGAAGCTCAAGAGCCAGCAGCTGACCAGTGAGCTGGACAAACTGAGCCAGGGGCTGGAGAAGGTCGGCCTCCACAAGGAGCTGCTGCTACAGGACGAGAGCAGCCATGGCGACACGTGAGGACCTCCCTGCCGCGGTCTGTGGGCTCTTACCCGGGGCTGCACGCTGCACGCTCCCAGCTCCAGAGCTCTGTTCACTCTGCCTACTTTGGGGCTTGTTGTCTTGTGGTCTTTATGAGGGGCTTGTGTCCTTTACAGATCATCTCCCTGGAGGTTTGCAGGGAGGGGTGAAAGACTCTCTTGTCCAGTGGAAAGGCTTCTCAATTTTTTTAAAATACACTTTTTAGAGCAGCTTTAAGCTCAAAGCCAAGTTAAGGGGAAGGGACAGAGATTTCCTGAATGCCCTGTGCTGCCCCGCCTCAACCCCCGCCCAGCATAGCTTCTCTGTAATCCATATCCCCACCAGGGTGGTGCATGTGTTACACTTGATGTGCCTCCACTGACCCATCATCACCCGAAGTCCACAGTTTACATGGAGGCCGCTCTGGATGGTGCACATTCCATGGGTTTCAACCCTTGTGTAATAACCTGTATCTGCCAAGTGTCCTACAGAATGGTTTCTCTGCCCTGAAAATCCTGTGTTCCACCTATTCATTCCTCTTTTCCTGGTCCCAGCCCTTTAATTTTCAAACATTTAACCGTTGTAGTCTTTGCCTGCGGTTCTTTCAGTAACCGTCTCATTGTTCAAAGAAATCCAGTATCACGGATTTTTCCTGGACTTGTAACTGACAAGATCCACAGGACAGATAACGTGTGACACGCTGTCGGTGTGGTGAAAAGGCTACCACTTACCTAGCTAGCATTGTAGTCTTGGGCAAATGGCCTAATCTTTTTTTCTTTCTTTTTCTTTTTCTTTTTCTTTTTCTTTTTCTTTTTCTTTTTCTTTTTCTTTTTCTTTTTCTTTTTCTTTTTCTTTTTCTCTTTCTCTTTCTCTTTCTCTTTCTCTTTCTCTTTCTCTCTTTTTCTCTCTTTCCCTTCCTTCCTTCCTTCCTTCCTTCCTTCCTTCCTTCCTTCCTTCCTTCCTTCCTTCCTTCCTTCCTTCTTAATGTTTATTTTTTAAAGAGAAGTGAGTCAGGGAGGGGCAGGGAGAGAGAGAGAGGAGAGAGAGAATCCCAAACAGGCTCCTTGCTTGTCAGCACAGAGCCCAACATAGAACTCCGTCTCACAAAGTGTGAGATCATGACCTGAGCTGAAATCAAGAGTCAGATACTTAACCGATTGAGCCACCCAGGTGCCCTGTGCTTAATTAACCTGAGACTAAGTTTCCCCATCTGTAAAATGGCCTTGATGATACCTTCCTCTAAGACTATGCCTGTAAGACTACAGCAGTGATGTCTCATTGGAGGGTGTCACAGGTGTGTGCAGGGAGCCCCGGGGAGGGCTCTGGGTGATGGCTTTTGGCTCCTTCTGGGCCAAACGCTGCAGAATAATAGGGAAAACGAGCTTAATGGAGGAGATAGGTGTTGGTAGCTGGGAGACTGGGAGCTTGTGGGTGGAAGAGGCAGATAGGTAGTTGTGTCTTTGTATTTTTCAGAAAGTTCAAGATTCTGGAGGACAGAAATGACTCATTAAAAACAACATTAGCCCTGAAAGAAGAAAAGATTGTGTTTTTAGAAGCTCAAATGGAAGAAAAGGCCAGCCTGAACCACCAGTTGCAGAACGAGCTCCAGGTGGTAAGATCTGGCCCCCTTTGGTGCCACACTGTAAGTCCCAGTCATGAGGCCCCTGCCCCACCTTTTCCAGCCCCTCACCTGGGGGTAGCAGAGGGCTGGCCTGGATGCCCATTTCTCGGAGCAGATGTGCTGAGATGCAGGGTTCTGAGCGGGGGAGCTACCATCACAATCCTGTGCATTGGGGCTGGACAGGATCAGATGCCTGGGAGGAGAGGAGGCCACATTCAGAGCAGCACTGAGTCTGCTAGGCAAGATCGGGAACACCGATGAGGACCAGTGTGAGATTATGAGCATCGAGACCAGACAGAGGCCTCGAGTCTCTTGGGCACCCTCACATGGGACAAGTGGGCATGGATGCACAGGTGCTTCATCAGGATGTCCACTCCTGGTGATATGTGCTCTTCCAACTCTCCTTTGCTTCTTTTAAGCAAAGGCTTTTTTTTTTTTTTTAATGGTTATTTATTTTTGAGAGAGAGCAGGAGTAGGGGAGGGGGAAGAGAGGGAGACACAGGATCCGAAGTGGGCTCTGCACTGACAGCAGCAAGCCCGATGTGGGGCTCAAACTCCAGAACAGATCATGGCCTGAGCTGAAGTTGGACGCTTAACCAGCTGAGCCACCCAGGCACTCCCCCAACCCCCCACCCCTTCTGCTTTTTGAAGCCTTGGCACATTTCTTGGCTGCGTGATTGAACAAGGAATCTAGAACAAAGTGGTTCTAGAGCTGGAAGGGGCTTTGTAACATCACCCGGTCCACGTCCCCCAGGCTCATCTCCATTTGATGGAGTGGACAGCTGAAGCTCGGGAAAGCGAGAAGACTTGCCAAGGTCATGTGGTTGAAGTTGAGACCGAGGCAGATGTCTGGAAGGAGGGGGAGCACAGGGTGGGTTATGTATGTTCCCTGCAGAGCAGAAGGACGGTGTCTGGCTTATCACTGGTGCCAGGTGAGGGGTTGGGTTTGCTATGGGGCTCTCCTCTAGCCACGAACCCAGAGCTCCGAGCCAGCCTTTTCCTGCCCCAAGTCTGCTTTTCCTGCTCCCACCCCACAGTTGAAGACCGAGTGTGAGGTCCTCAGGCAGAACCAGCAGGAAGGGAAGCACTTGGAGAACTCTTTCAAACACCCTGTGGACACGCTGGTCACCGGTCTCCAGGGGAAGGAGCCCTGGGGACCCAGCCACAAGGAAGCCACCATGGAACTGCTCCGAGTGAAGGACCGGGCCATCGAGCTGGAACGGAATGTGAGTGGGCTGCCCCTGCTGCGGTCGTTGAGAGAGAGAGAGAGAGAGAGCGAGCGAGCGAGCAATGCACTCTGTTGATTGTCCCAGTGATAGGCCGCCATTACCATAAAGGACACGAGACGTCAGAATCTGTTGAGATTTACCCAGATCCAGCTGAATACTTCTTGAGTTGTCCTGGCAAGTCCTGTGAGCTACTTGTCATTTGAGATCTCGTCAGCCTTTCTAGCGGAAAGGAGCGCGTTCGCATTTTCCCATGGTGAATCCCTGTCTGCCTGCCCGTCGGACTTGGCCCGTGGCTTGTACACCAGCCCCGTTTCCACAGTGTTCCTCTAGGGGTTGACAGACCGTGGCCTGCCAGCCCACGGACATATGCTTTGTTACGTATTATGTGTGGTCTTCCCACCCTCGTGGCAGACGTAAGTGGTTGCAGTGGAGACCACGTGCCTGGAAGACTGCAGAATTCTGTCCATCCCTTTACAGAAGTTTGCCGGTGCGTGTCTAACCCCCTGATGTTGTCGGACTCTCCCAACAACCTTGTGAAGCGAGTAGTGATGATCTTCATCATTTGACAGATGAGAAAGTGGAGACAGTTTAAGAGACTCGACCCTAGGCCCCACGCTAGTAAGGGACAGCACTGGACTGTAACCCGTGTGTCCTGACCCGGTTGGTGGCATATTTTACATGGTATCTCTGTCTGCCGGGACGTGAACCGCCTTATTCTGTCTGTTGTCGCTCCTGAGTAGGGTGAGGTGTGGCCACAGGCTTTGACTCCCTGTCCTATGGGAGAAGCTCACAGAATGGCACTTGTGGGGTGTTCAGCAGAAAACAGAAGCATTACAGAGAGAAGTCACTGCACGGCTTTAACCCCAGCTTGCCTTTGCCTTGCACTCAGATGCTCAGGTTTGAAGCCATATCGCCATTAGGTGAATGCATTTCTGTCTGGAAAGCACATACCAAAAAAAGTAGTTCTCTCCC